GAGAAATCACCCCCCAGGGGGGATGGTCACGCCGCAATCCCTTCTCCTCCATTCTCTTCTCGGGATCTTGGGCATGCACGCACACGCACCTGGCGTGAGTTTTAAGCCACTGGGTCCGGGATGCGAACCATGGTCGACTACGTGGGAGTCCAGCGACATAACCATTACGCTAATTGCTGGTTCCCAATAAAGTTACATTTTTAAAAATTATTTTATTTGGAGAGGTTTGTGCTATAGGGCACATGTGCTCTCCAGAAAGACAGAGAGAGACAGAGAGACAGAAAGTAAGAAATCCACCCCCGCAGGGGGGATGGCCATACCACAATCACTTCTCCTTCATTCTCCTCTCGGGATCTTGGGCACACACGCACATGCACCAGGTGTGAGTTTAAGCCACCGGGTCCGGGACTCGAACCACGGTTGACTACATGGGAGTCCAGTAACATAGCCATTACGCTAACTGCTGGTCCTAAAAAATTCTTTAAAAAAAAAGAGGCAACAGCAATCAAAACTGTGGGGTTGGCAAAATAATAGATCAATAGATTGGTGTAGAGTCTAGGAATAGACCTACACAAACATAATCAACTGTTTTTTGACAAAGGAACAAATGGAGGAAAGATAGTCTTTTAGTCTTTTCAATAAATGGTGCTAAAACAACTTGTGATTCACATGTATACAAGTTCATCTAGGGGGCCAGCAGGTGGCATGGTTGTTAAAGATGGACTCCAACATGGCTGACCATAGTATGAGTCCCAGACCTAGTGGCTTGAAAATCACACCAGGCATGTGTGCATGCATGCCCCCAAATCCCAAGAGAATTAAGAAGTGATTGTGGTGTGGCCATCCTCCCTGGGGAATGATTTATCACTTTTCTTCTCTATTATCTCTCTCCAGCAAGTACACACACGCTATGACAAAAAAAATAAAATCTAGACACAGATCTTACATCAGTCACCAAAAATTAACTAAAAAGGATCATAGACTTAAATGTAAAACACAAAACAATAAAAGATGACCTTGGGTTTGGTAATGCTTTTTTTTTTTTTGCTGTGTAATGCTTTTTTTTTTTTTTTTTGCTGTAGGGCACATGCAGATGCCAGAGAGACAGAGATAGACAGAAAGTGAGAAATCAAACCCACCCCAGGGGGATGGCCATGCTACAATCCCTTCTCCTCCATTCTCCTCCTGGGATTTGGGGCATGCATCCACATGCGCCCGGTATGAGTTTGAAACCACCATGTCTAGGACTCCAACTAAAGTCAACTACGTCAGAGCTCAGTGATGTAACCGTTACACTTTGCACTGTCCCTTGGCAATGATTTTTTGGATACAACACCAAAGGCATAATCCATGAAAAAAATAATTGATAAGCTGGACTTCATCAAAATTTAAAACTTTCTTTTGTTTTCCAAGGAATTATTTAATTTAGTTTATTATTATTTTTAAATTTGAACAAAGAGAGACAGAGAGAAGGAAAGTGAGAAAGCAAGCCAGAACTCAAACTGTGGTCAGCCATGTGGGAGTTAAGTGCCTAAACCAACATGCCACCTGCCAGCCCCAACATTTAAAACTTTCTATATGAAAGATACTGTCAAGAAATGAGAAGATAGCCATAGACTGGAAGATATTTGCAAAATATACATCTGATAAAGGCCTGTTACCCAAAATAACTCATAAAATTCAATATGAACAAGAAAAAAAAGGGCAAAACATTTGCATTATTTATTGCAAAAAATGAACAAACACCTCATCAAAGAGGATATAGAGATGGTAAATATTCAACATCATATGTTATTAGGCAATTTCAAATTAATGCAATGTAATACATATGAGAATGGCCAAAATCCAAAATGCTGACCACACCAAAAGCTAGTGAAGATGTAGAGCACCAGAAACGCTCATGCTGGTAGAATTACAAAATGGTACAACCACTCTGGAAGACAATTTGGCAGTTTCTAACAAAATTAAATTACTCTAACCAGCAATTGTGTTCTTTGGTATTTATCAAAATTAATTGAAAATCCATGTCTATAGACAAACCTACACGTAGATGTTTATAGTAACTTTATTCATAATTGCCAAAACACGAAAGCAATCAAAAGGTCTCTTAGTAGGGAATGGATAAAGAAATTGTGAGAAAAATAGAGAGAAGGGTACAGAGCCCAATGGGATCCTGACACCATGATCCACCCCTGGCCTCGCCCAGCCCAGATCATGGGCACAGACATGCCCGGTATATCCAGGGAGATCTCTGGCCATGAACCAGCAAACATAATCAACCCATAATCCCACATGGGTCTGCCTTGTTAAGTGTCACATTCTATGCTTATGCTATTATCTGGACCCAAGGGTTGGTTACTTGAAAAAATAAGTAATACTGATAAACCCTTAGTTAGACTAAGAAAAAAAAAAAAAGACACAAAATCAAAAATGAAAGAGGAGACATTACAATCAATAAATGCCTTGGAATAAAAAAGATTACAACAAACTATTATGAGCAATTAAATACCAACAAATTGGATCATCTATAAGAAATGTATAAGCTTTCAGAAACACTCAACCTACCAAAACTGAATCAAAAAGAAATAGAGGGGCCAGCAAGTGGTATGGTGGGTAAGTATGCTGGACTCCCACATGGCCAACCATGGTTCGAGTCCTGAACCTGGCGACTTGCTTTCTCGCTCTCTCTCTCTTGCTCTCGCTCTCTCTTTCTGTCTTTCACTCTGTCCCTCTCTGTCAAATTTAAATAAACAGCTTTCTGCCTTTGCTGCCGCCATGGTGCCCATGAAAAAGCTTGTGGTGAAGGGGGGCAAAAAAAAGAAGCAGGTTCTGAAGTTTACCCTTGACTGCACCCACCCTGTAGAAGATGGAATCATGGATGCTGCCAATTTTGAGCAGTTTCTCCAAGAGAGAATCAAAGTGAATGGAAAAGCTGGGAATCTTGGTGGAGGTGTTGTAACCATTGAAAGGAGCAAGAGCAAGATCACTGTAACTTCTGAGGTGCCTTTTTCCAAAAGGTATTTGAAATATCTCGCCAAAAAATATTTGAAGAAGAATAATCTACGTGATTGGTTGCTCATAGTTGCTAACAGCAAAGAGAGTTACGAATTACGTTACTTCCAGATTAACCGGGATAAAGAAAAGGAGGAAGATGAGAATTAAAATTCATTTATCTGGAATATTTTGTATGAGTTCTTGAATAAAACTTGGGAACTAAAAAATAAATAAATAAAAATAATTTTTAAAAATTTAAATAAACAAATAAATTTAAATGAAATAATTATTTAAAAAAAAAAAAACAGGAGAAGAAGAAAAATAGAAAGCCTGAAACAGACTATGAAAAGACTGAAGCACAAATTCAAAACTTCCCAAAGAAAGAAAAGTTGAGGGGGCCCAGCCAGGTGGTATGATGGTTAAGGTGTCTTGATCCCACATAGGCACCTGTGTGGTTTGATTCTGGAACCCAGTGGCTTGAAAATCAGGCTGGGTGCATGTGAGTGTGTATCCAAAATCTCAAGAGGAGAAGGGAGGAGAAGGGATTGAGACATGGTCATCCCCCCTGGAGGGGTGCTTCCTTACTCCTCTGCCTCCCCTCCACAACCCCATCTCTTTCTGGTGAGCACACACACACTATAGTAAAATAAATAAACAAATAAATACATAAATAAATAAAATCAATTTTTTTTAAATAAAATGAAATGATTTTAAAAAGAAAAGCTCAGGGGCCAGCAGATGGCATGTTGGTTAAAGTGCTACACTCTCACATGGCCAATTGTGGTTTGAGTCCCAGACCTGGTTGCTTGTTTTCTCATTTTCTTTTTCCCTCTCTCTCTCTTTCTCTCTCTCTCTGGTGAGTACACATGCCCTATAGAAAAAATTAAAAAATAATAAAAAATGAAATTAAATAAATAATTCTAAAAAAAATACAATAAAAAGAAAAGCTCAGGCCCAGCAGACATCATGGGTGAATTCTACGAAACTTTATTTATGTATTTATTTTTTAATTGCCCTAGGGTACATTCACTTGTCAGAGAGAGGCAGAGAGAGGAAGAGACAAAACAACCCTTCAGTGAGGTGTCATCACAGCACAGTCCTCTATTTTTTTATCCTGTCAGGATTTGGGACATGCATACACACATGCCCAGCATGCTTTTCTTTCTTTTTTTTTAAGAATTATTTTTATTTCATTTATTATCATTATTATTATTTGTTTCATTTGACTAGAGAGGGACATAAAGAAAAGGAAAGTAGGAAAGCAAGCCTCCAGATTCAGGACTTAAACCATGGTCAGCCAAGTGAGAGTCCAGCACCTTAACCACCATGCCACTTGCTGGCCCCCCCAGCATGTTTTTCAAAGTTGGGATTTTAACTTCAGTCAGCCATGTGGTATCGGGCTCCCTTAACTTCTAGGCTATGAGGTTGGTCCTTCTACCAAAGTTCCAAAGAATTTATACCAATCTTTTTCAAACTTCCAAAAAAGTAGAAGAGATAGAAACACTTCCAAACCCATTTATGAGGGTAGCAACACTCTGACACCAAAACCAGAAAAAGACTACAAGAAAAGAAAACTACAAACTAGTATTTTCGACAAACAGATGCAAAGATCCTCGATAAAATGCAAACAAACCAAATTTCTCTTCTAGATTTAATGTAGGATGATTGTCAACTCAAATTAGAGTCAGCAGCATTTTGAGCTAGTGAGTCTAACAGCTTTCTGAAGTAATTTCTTTCCCCTCCTAAGCTTGTTAATTCATCAAAAAATGTTTGGACACTCACCTCACTTTTTTTTTTTTTTTGGAGAGGTTTTTGCTATAGGGCACGTGCGCTCACCAGACAGACAGAGAGAGACAGAGAGACAGAAAGTGAGAAATCACCCCCCAGGGAGGATGCCCGCCACAATCCCTTCTCCTCCATTCTCCTCCTGGGATCCTGGGCACACACGCACACGCGCCTGGCTTGAGTTTAAGCCGCCTGGTCCGGGACTCGAACCGTGGTCGACTACATGGGAGTCCAGCGACCAGCTGACTGCTGGTCCCGACCTCACTCTTTTTAAGTACTTACCCAATAAACAGAGATAGTTGGGTTCAGTTAATCTGGGCAGTTTTGTGACCTGATTCAAGATGTTGTAAAGCTCCATTGGCTCACAAAAAAACAAATCAGCCATCCTGCTGGGACAAATCAGGGAACAAGCTTAGCATAAATTTTTCTATTTTAGATGAGTGACTACGAAGTAAGACACTGAATTAAATTTTCTTAAAATAACTTCAAACAAAGTACTAATGTAAGTGACCAGAAGGGCTTCGAAATTTGCAGTAAATATGTGCAGAGGAGATGAAATATTGAACACAACATAGCTGAGCCATGTAAGTATCAGGTGGGCTGTAAAATAGTCACAAATCCATTTGTTCATTTAGTAAACAATTACTGAGCACCGACTAAATGTCAAGCACTGGAAATAACTTGGTAAACAAGACTTACCTTCCTGGAGGTTATAGGTTAGCATGAAATGCAGGCACTGAACAAAACAAAAAAGAGTAAATTCCAGGTAGGAATTTGAGTAAGCATCTACGTCCTAAGTGTAGTTGATAGGAGGTTCTCACCTAGTTAGAGAAACCAGACAAAGGCTGTCTGAGGATATGACTGCTGCACTGAGACAGGAGGCTGAGCTAGATGGACAAGAGAAGGAAGGTGAAGAACAAAAGAACATTCCCCTAGGAGCAGGAGTGCGCTCAGTACCTGAGAGAGTTCAAAGGAGCCTGGTATGGCTGCAGCTGAAAAGTGATCATTGAAGATGCTGTGGGGCCAACACAAGTCATCCCCTGGAGCATTAAGGATTGTAACAGTCAATGTGTGTGTGAGAGAGGCGGTGGGGAGGGTCTCTGGTGTGTATAGAGCTGAGCTCTGGCTACTGGCTGCAGGGCTGCACTGATTCCTGCACGCATCTGTTTCTGGAAGGGGTGGAGCTGTGCAGCAGGTAGGCTTCCTGCAAGGAGGCTACCTTTTAGCAGGGGTACTATAAGGACAGTAGAGCAGGGTTGAGGTTAAGTCCAAGGATGATCTTGCTTAAAACAGTCAGAGCTATCAGTATGATGCTTCTGGGAAAGCCAACACCTCAACCTAGACCTTGGATCCTTCTCATTTCAAGGACTTCAGTTCTCAGTCCACTCACTCCCAGAACGCCACACCATCCCTGGCCAGTATCATCAATTTCAGCCTCTACATGGATCTTTCTATCAGCACACAGACATCCTCCTGAACCTATCTTTCTTAAGAGTGATGTTTAATGCCTCTACTTGCTCACCTTCAAATACAAGACAGCTTCAAGTCCACGGACAAGCATATTATGAAAAACTATGCATGGACTTCAATTTTTTTTTGCACCAAAATAAACTCATACTTAATTCCATTTTTCTACGAACATTTTGAAGTCTCCTCGTATGCTGACTCTGGAGTCAAATTCTGAAGTCAAACTCTCTTAGGTCTGAATCTTGGCTCTGCCACTCTACCAGCTGCCTAAACTTGGAGAGTAGTCAGTCCTTCTGTGCTTCAGTTTCTACCTCTGTAAAATGAGAGATAATAATCGAATGCCACTTCAGTCAAATGAGAACAACAGTCCCTGCACGCAGTGAGTAGATTAATGGCGTTTCCAGGGTAAGGCATTTTGAGCAGGGAGAAAATGTTAAGTGTTGCTATTGGCACAAGCGTCTCCCCGGGAGCTTCTAATCCCACCAAACCACAGAAACTTCATATCAAGGTCATCAACAGTGTCCCTCTTGACTAATCCCTTAGTAATTTCTGAGCTCAAATGACTCAGCCTCTTAGCAATATGTCACACAGCAGAGCCATCTTCCATTCCCAAACACCCTCCAGAACACCACCCACCGAAGCTTTCCTCCTTTGTCTCAGGTTGTTCTTCCATTCCCAAACACCCTCCAGAACACCACCCTCTGAAGCTTTCCTCCTTCGTCTCAGGTTGTTCCTCCCCAGCCTTCTCTGCTACAGGATCTACCTTTTTATGTAAGAATGCCACTGGGCTTAGTTATTTTTATTATTATTATTATTATTTTAGATTTTGCCACAGGGCATGTACATTCACTGAAGAGAGACAAAAAGAGAGAGGAAAAAAGTGAGAAATTTCTCCACAGGGTGGTTGGCCATGCCACAATAATCTTCTCCTTCAAGCTCTTCTTGGGATTTTGAGCATGCATGTACAGATGCCCAGTGTTTTTGTTTTCAAGCCACTGGCTCTGGGACTCAAACCACAGAGTCAGTCATGTAAGATGCAGCACCTTAATCACCACACCACTGCTGGCCCCATCTTGTTTCTTCTCTATCTACACTCTTACTCTAGGAAAAGGCTCTCAACTTCAGCACCACTGACATTTAGGGCCAGATAATTCTCTCTTGAAGAGGCTGGCCTGTGTATTGCTGGATGTTTAGCAGCATCCCTGGCCTCTACCCAGTATATGCCAGTAGCAGCTCCTCTCCTAAGCTGCAACGACATCTCAGAAGAAGAGGGCAAAATCATTTCTCAGAGAGAACCAACACCTTAGATCCAGTCTTGGTGATTCATCTAGTCTCTTGAAAATAACTTCTTTCCTTTTTCTTTTTTTTTTTTCTTTTTTTTTTTTAAGAGTTTTTTTGCTATAGGGCACGTGGGCTTGCCAGAAAGACACAGAGAGACAGAGAGACAGAAAGGGAGAAATCACACCCCCGGGTGGATGGCCACGCCGCAATCCCTTCTCCTCCATTCTCTCAGGATCTTGGGCACACACACACACACATGCCCGGCATGAGTTTAAGCCACCAGGTCCGGAACTCAAACTGCGGTAGACTACATGGGAGTCCTGAGACAGCCATTACACCACTGCTGGTCCATTTCTTTAAGAGATTTTTGCTGTAGGCCACATGCACTTGCCAGAGAGTCAGAAAGCAAGAAATCACACTCCCCCAGGGGATATGGCCGCGCTGCAATCTCTTCTCCATTTTCCTCTTGGGCTTTTGGGCAGGCGTGCACACTTGCCCAACATGAGGTTTTTGTTGTTGTTTTTCTTTTGTAATTGAGATTTATTGATTGCATCCACAATCAGTACAGACATTCCAATTTGTACCCAATTCTTAACATATGTACCAAACATTTTAAAAGCCAAGTATCATGATTCTTTTTCAGTTATTCCAGGGACATTCCAGCTTCAAACTTGCAGGCAAATTTTCCTTAAGAGGATATCAAGTACCGCTGTCTTCAAATGTTTTTTCAACAAAGCTGTTACGCAAGTCCCACCAAATCTCAATTTAGTATAATACACACTATATACTCAAATCTCCAATCTTTCACAGCACATTAACAAAATTATTAGGAAAACTGGACTACCATGACCAAAGATGTTAGAGTGCACACAGTTCTGACAGGGAGAGCAACAATTAAAGAGAGGTTTTCTTTAGGAAACAATACTACTAAAAAATATAGAAGTAATTTAAAATATTCAAGACACATTAAATGTATGACTGTGACTCCAAACTGCCATTTAGTATGCGTTTCATTTAGGATATACTACCCACCCACCCCACCTATGAAATGTTAAACTGACATATAAGACAGTCAAACCCCCTATAAGTCAATATCCCACTATTATCTGGTTGTGCTGAAAAATAAACAATCAGTAAATGATTTTTACCTCTTTTAAATAAAGCATTTACACTTAAAAAATGAGATGAGGTAGGATTTTCTCTTTCTTAAAAATGTTTTTAGAGTTACTAAAAACTTGCATTTACAAAATAGTTAATAAAAATATTCCTCTTGATTGTACAAGAAGGGAGACAGGAACTGAATTCCTCTTGATTGTACAAGAAGGGAGACAGGGACTGAGGTTGGTATATGGTATATGGCATTACTCAGACTTGACATGGTATATGGCATTACTCAGACTTGACTTCTTTCTTGCCTGCTTCATCAGAGAGTGGACTCTCCTCACTTTTAGTTTCTCCATTTTTTTGCAGATAAATCTTCTTTAGTGTCTCAGTTGGGCCCTTCAGGCTGTTCCCCTTTGTTCCCCTTTTCCCTTTTGTTTGCACTCTTTTGTCTGAAGATTTATTCTTCCCTGCTGCCTTTTTTGGCTTCATCTCCACTTTTGCAGAAGCAGGTTCAGCTGACAACCTCGCAGATCTCCTCTTGGGCTCTTCCTTGGCTGCCCCCTCAGTTGAGCTGACCTTCCTCTTGGGCATCTTGGCTGCAGACAGGGTGTGTGCTGGGTGTCAGGGGGACCGTGGCACTCCTAGAGCTTCATGGAGTAGCAGATAGTAAGCTGCTGGGACCCATGCCAGCATGAGTTTTTGTTGTTGTTGTTGTTTTGTTTTAATTATTTTATTTAATTTTATTTATTCATTCCTTTATTTTCATTTGATGAGAGAGAAAGAGAAAGAGAGAGAGAATGTGAGAAAGCAAGCCAACAGGTCTGGGATTCAAACCATGGTCGGCCATGGAGGAGTGTCCAGCACCTTAACCGTCATGCCACCTGCTGGTCCTCAAGCCGGCATGAGTTTTAAATTACCAGGTCTGGGACTCGAACTGTGGTCACCCATGTGAAAGTCCAGCAACATAATCACTATACCATCTGCTGGTCCTGAAAACCACTTCTAATTTTATCCTGTCTTGACTTCTCCACTGAGCCTGACTCCACTTGGATGTTTGATAGACATCTCAAATATAACATGGCCAAAACAGAACTTTTAGTTGGCATGTACACACACCTGATACTTGTTCCTCTTTCAGCCTTCTCAGTCTCAGTAAGTAGCATCATTACCCACCCATGTGCTGGATCCTAATTGCCTGATTCCTCTTACCCTCACCTCATACATCCAATCTATGAATTCTACCTCCAAAATGTATTCACATCCATCGACTTCACTCCATACCAGAGTTCCTGTCCTAGTCCAAGATACTATCATCTCTCTCCGGGCGATGCAATACTACCCAACTGGACTTCTTCCTGCTTCCTCCCTATAGTGTAACTTCCCATAGTAGTTAGGGTGATCTCTTCAAAACAGAGCCTCGTCTTCACCTTATCTGAAATTATCGTGCTCATTTATTTGCTTGTTTATTGTAAGTCTCCTCCCATAGGAACGTTTGGCTTATATGGGCAGCAACTGCCTGTCCTGTCCAGTGCCC